AATAATCAGCTGATTATCATAACAAGATCGTAACAGACAAACCAAAGGAAATAGAGACAAGGTGCTTTAGAATAAGATGAAGATGAAGATGAACAGGATGATGAGAAAATTATTATCATCTTTAAATTGTTCCATTGATGATCAGCTGATTATCGATAATCTTAATCAATTTGTTTTCTTTCGTAACTCCAATTGAAAACACTTTGTTTCTTTATTCCAATAAGTTGATGTAATAATTATCGACTCAACTTGACCTCGATAATTTATAATAAAAGAAAGTGAATTGTTATTAATATGATGATGATTAGTGATTGTTACAATTAACAGTTGATTTATATAATTATTATAATCACTAACAAAGTGACATTCATATGATTATTTCAATTGTAATCTATTGATAATATAATATCATTATTATCACAATGGGAGAAAGTTTTTTTTTCTTTGCTATCGAATATATTAAACTGGGTCAATATAATAATAAAAAACGCGCTTTTTAAGGTTAAATCGTTTTCGACACGAATTAGAACATTAAATTTATTATTAACGATTCCATCAGCACGAGTAAATATTACATCTTCCTCATCCTAATCATCTTAGTGCCCAAGAATCAAGTTGATTTATGCCAGTGATTAAAAACAGAGAAAGAAAAAAAAAGTTATCAAAATAAAAACAAGCCGATAATTTATTCAAATAAATTATTAACACAACTAATGCTAATAGAATGATAAAAGATGAAGATGAAGATGAAGATGAGGAAGAAGATGATGATGACATTATGTCTTAGCGTAGTTTCCGGTTTAATGATGATAAAGGAAGAGTGTTGAATATTTAATCTTGAAGAATTGGAATTAAGGAGAAAGAGGGAAAGTTGAAGATGATGATGATGGAAAAGTGGGTGGCAAAGGTACTAAAGATGATGAAGAAGATGATGAAGAGAAAAGTATCAAGATGATGATCATTTTTTTTTTCCATCTTCATCTTCCTTCCAAAGGCACATATTGGTCTTGATTTTCTGTCTGTGACAATGTAATTCATCTTCTCTCTCTCTCTCAAAGAAAAGGTCAAATATTAGTGAGAAGACAGATGGTTACATCTTCATCATCTTCTTCATCCTCATCATTATCATCATCTTCTCAGCGCCATCTACATGTATATTAGCATAATCCGTTTAAAGTGATCATCAAGAAGATGGAGAAAAAAAAATCTAATAACAATAAACCGAAAGACGGTTACATCTTCATCAACTAGATGATGATCATCATCATATCATCTTCTTCCTCATCATATATGCATAAACAGCGTATTTACAGGTTCCCATGGCATAAATATCATCCTCATCTTCTTATCATCTTCATCAGTCTCTCTCTCCCTCTTATTATTCTACTTTGACTTTTAACAGTTTTGTCTTCCTAAATCTCTGTCAACAAATTTTTCTCTTCATCTTCTTCCGTTATGGATTATCCTCATTCTAATCACCATCATCATCATTTCCAATCTCAATTGTTATTCATTTTCTCCCTCCTTCTCTCACCCATATCTCTCACCCTCCTCTCTCTCTCTCCCTCTTTCTCTCTAATTGAGTTATATTATTATCATCACAATGGTCAATAGTCGAACTGTGAAAAGACTAATAACCACGCGTTTTATTTTCGCCCCTTCAAGATTATCGTTAGCACGTTATTATTATTATCGCCTTTCCCTTGCGCTCATTTTGTATTATTATGAGTGTTTGTTTCTTTAAGGTCATCATCATCTTCATCTTCATTATCATCATTATGGGCGTAATGGGCGGTCAATATAAATGCTTATTTGTTGTTATTAGCTTCATATTATTACCAAAATAAATAGAACTTTTTTTTTCGACTTCGAAATTTGATAATTTAATTTACTTCCCAAACCCAAACTAATTTGATATATTGATCGTTTATTATTATTGCTGTTTCATTGAGTTTAATTAACTTAATATTAATGGCAATTGTGTTCAATCATCTACAAGTTTAATCACAATTAAGCAAAGTCATGATATCATTGATACAAACAATTTACATTATCTTAGTATTAACTTTGTTTCATTTGGTTTTTCATCTTGAAAATTTCAAACAATCAGCTGATCGTCAAGATTAAGGTAAAAGTTTGTTTCTTTTCTGATCACCTGATTGTTGATTGTTGTTGATGGTCAAGTACAATCAAAGAAATGAATGAATTAAATGGAGTAAGTGGTTCGCATTGAAAATGGTCACAGAGGAAGTCTTATTATCTTCATCTTTTACTTCATCATCTTATCATCTTATCATCATCATCATCTTGATGGTATCTTGTTGATACACAATGTTCAATGTTAATTGTGTCTTCTTTTGATTGTTGTTCATTTTTCATTCTTTATTTACTTTCTCAGAGTCTCTCTTTTTTTGTATTATCATTGATCATTTGACAACTTAATTTATGATCATTTACATTATTTGATTACAATCAAAATTTGATTGTTATTATAATACAATAACAATCAGAGAGAAAGAAACTCAACCGAATCAATAATAATAATGATGCAATAATGTCAACCCCTTTTGTCCAATACGAAAACAGGATCAACCTTAATAATCATTTGTTGACGTTAATTTTTGCAATTTAAATTGTTATTGTTGGAAATGAATTGCAATTAATGAGAAGATGTAATTAAATCCGATTGTTTCAACAGCGATTGATACAAATATTAATACATTAGCTTGAGTTTTGATGTTTCAATGAAACATTTTGAATGTGGAATTGAAAAAATGAACAAGAGATTTACATGTTACCTTGACATTGGAAATGATCAGGTCAAAGGTTATCAAGTCAGTTGACAAATACATCAAGATAAAGGTTGAAAGAGTGAGGAGAGAGTGTCCAAAGAGGCAGGGGAATAAATGATGATGAAGATGAAGATGAAGAGAAAAGGGTAAAAAAAGAAAGGTAACAAAGAAGATTGAGAAATTATCTTTATCCTTTCTTACAATCTTTTCCTTTCCTTTCTTAACTGTCTTTTTTATCTTCATCAATTTCCTCATCTTCCCATCATTCTACAGCATCAGTATTGAGATGATGATGAAGATGAAGATGGAGATGAAGGTCATCCGTTGCAAGTGATTTTCAATTGTGTATTTTGTATAATGTGTTTCGAGAAAAAAAAGTTTTGACAACAAAAGGAAACTTACATCGTATATCTTTGTTTTCATCTTCATTTTTATCTTCTTCTTCTCGTCCTTCTCATCCTTCTCTCTCTCTCTCTCTCTCTCTCTCTCAGTCCAATAATGATACCTCTGACAAAGGTATATACCAAAAGTGTCAAAAGCAAAAAAGTAGCAACAGAGTAAGAAGATGAAGATGAAGATGCAGGAAACATTGTCAGTAACAAAATTTTGTATTCAAGTTATTTCAAGGTATTTTTCAGGGTGTTAAGGTCAAAGGCAAGTCGATTTCACGGTCAAATTGTTGTCAATATTATCAATTTTTACCTTTTTACAAATAGAATTGTACCTGGACAGTGTCCACTCCTTTAGAACATCTCATTCCCTAATAATCTTGCTCTTCTTTTTGTAAGCTCTTCTTTTGCGTAAAGATGAACCAATAGTGGATCAATGTGATGATTGGTGTTATTATGAATTTCAATCAATAGAATTGAAATCCAATTCTTGGTCAATTAAGGATGAATATTGATTTGGAATTGTAGTTGACCAACAAAACATAAATACTTTTATAAACTTTCAAATGTTTCTAATGGGTTTTCGTTCAGATTAACACTTTCCCTTGGTCACTTTTTTTTGTCAAATCAACTGGTCAAACAAAACAAATTCATCGACTATGGTAGACTGGACATAACATTAACTGACCCATTGTAACGATCCAATTTGACCTGATTGTGTGTCCCAATCCCAAAACTATGGTTATCGTGTGTGTATTTCTGTTCAATATTAATGTGAAATTGGTTAATTGCTATTTAATTGTAATTGACTTTGTTTTCAGTTTCTCGTTCTGATGTTATGGTTTCTTATTTCGTACCAAAGTAATGGTCAAAGTGAGTGTAATAAAATGACCATCGAGCTCGTAGTTATATCTATCGGCTATTTTTCATTGGATTATTACAACGACAAGAAAATATTATCTTTTAACAAGAAAGTAAAAAAAACAAACTCGTCTTCATCTTGATAGGTTATCGTAATCATCTTATCAATAACAAACAACATCAACAAAAAATATCAAAGTTATCAACATTGTTAAGGTCACTTTTCTAAGGTCATCACAATGTAAACACACAGACTGGATAAGTTATAACTTTATTATCAAGTTTGACCTGAACGAGGTCAAAGGTTTTTACCAAGGCTCTAGAATAGTTTCCTTGAAGCTGATGTCCAGAAAAGAAATGGACCTGAGAGAGAGAGAGAGAGAGAGAGAGAAGGTGAAGGTGAGAAGGGAGGTGGTGGAAGTAGAAGGTGGTGGTTGTGGTGGTGGTGGTGGTTGGAAAAGGGAGAAAGGCAAATGTGTCAATTTAAATGCGCGATCACAATATTGAGTTTGAAGTTGAACATTTTAAAAGGCAAGAGATTGATGTTTATATTGGGTTTTCTCAAGGAAATGTGATAGTTTTTTTACAGTAAAATAAAAACATTATAAGGTGTAGAGATGATGAAGAAGATGAAGAAGATAAAGATGAAGATGAAGATGAAGATGGAGAAGTGTGTTTTTCTTCACCGATCCATACACCCTGACGTTCAGACTCATAACGAAATCCTCCTGCCTTCATCCTCCTCCACTTCCACCAACAACTATCACCATCATAAGCGAATCATTTCTTATTAATTATCATCTTAATTTATTCAAAGTAAATGGATTGTGATCAATTCAGTTACATAGCAATGGTGGTTCAGCTATTTTCCTCCATCCTCCTCCTCTCTCTCTCTCTCTCTCTCTCTCTCTCTCTCTCTTCCTTTTCCTCTTCCTCTTCCCATTCTCCCTCTCTCCCTAATTTCTCTTCATCGTGGCCAATAAACACAGGCTTGAATTTTAACACTAAATTTGAAGGATGACCGCAATATCACTTGAAATGCTTTTCCTTTCGAGTGTAAACAAATCATTATCATCTTCTGTTCACCTTTTACTCCAACGATATAAGATGTTATTAGTGCCTGGTCAGGTTTCAGGTCTCCCTTTTCCTCATCCACCTTCTCATCATCATCATCATCATCCTCCTTATGCTCTCAATCATCTTCATTTATTTGTCAAATTGGCTAAATAACAACAACAATACAAAGAGAATTGATATTTGCCAAAATTTTTCGCTCTTTTTATCCTCCATCCTCATCACCATCTCATTTCATCTTCATCTTCATCTCTCATCATAATTCATCATCTTTTCAATTGATTAGCAGAAAAAAAATAACGCAACAGAAAAAACAACAACAACGATAATAATGATAACCAAAACAAACACAAAATCAACAATCATTGATCATCAAACTAATAAATAACTTGATTAAGATCACAATCATTGGGCTTGTACACTTAATCATTTTAAATCTCAATTACATGTTGTTTGTTTTCACATTTGTATTTTTTTTTGCTCAATCATCACAATTAACAACTTGATTAGGAATCAAGAAGAAAAAAGCAAAATGATTAACATATAAGAAGCAAGAATCAAAAATCCAGGTAAAGTTAACACAACAATTGAGACAAATTATGGTAATCAAATTGTAGATTGATATTAATCATATGAAGCCACACGTAATGATGATATCTTTTTGATCATTTAAATAAATAGTTTTGACAATCAATTGAATTTGTTAACAGTGATTATCAAGAAGAAAATAATAATAATAAGATAACAATGATAAGTTGGATAATCTAATAGACAAGATAACAAGGTGAGGATAACAAAAGATGATACAAGTTTATCCTTTCATGGATTATGATATAACTGTGAAGATGATAAAAGGATGAGATGATCTTATTGTGTGTTTGGTTGACCAAAGGCGTAAATGCATAATAATTTCAATGGAAGAAGATAAATAAGACATCTTCTTCTTTATCTTCATCGTCTTTATCATCTATTCTTTGTCCAATAGTTCAATAAGATGTTGATGTCTTCATTGAATCTCTTTTCATACAATTTATGGTCACTTTCATCTTCTTCTTCCTTTCTCACCTCTCACATTGATCATCATCATCATCATCATCATATTCATCTTCATAGCCTACGGCAGCCTCCAGGAAGATCAACAGAGAGAGAGAGAGAGAGAGAGAGAAAGAAACTGTCTTAACACTTCTTTGTGTCCTTACCTTTTTTTACCTTTACTTTTTTTTCTGTGTCTCTTTTGTGCTTCTCTTTCTCTGATCTTCAGTATAATATGAAGATGGAGATAGAAGAAGATGAGGAAGACGATGATGATCAAGATGATGATGATAATGATGATGATGATGAATGAAAAGCCATAGTCCCTCCTTTTTATCTTCAGAGGAAACCAAAGGTAAGAAATTATTCAAAAAATCTATTGAGATATCAGAGAGATACTCACAACTAGAGGCTCTTTTTCACTCACTCTAAGACATTTTGAGACACCCTGTTGACTAAACTAGAGGATAAATAGGTTTCTTTTTGTCAAGATGGAGTAACAAGTAAAATCATTTCCATCTATTATTATCATTACTATTATTATATTAGATTCTTACCTTTGATTTCATCTTTGGACACATATTCTTGTTCATTTCAAGACATAATATCGACAAAAAGGTAAACCAACACTAGAAGATTTTTTTGAGCTTAGTTTGTGAAGAGAAAACTCGAGAAGAAGAAGAAGAAAAAGATGAAAGAAAGAGAGAGAGAGATGAAGGTGGAAAGATTAGGGAGAGAGAGAGAAAAAGGTTCGAAAAAGAAGATATCAAAGGGAGAGAATCGAAGGTAATTAATCATTGAGAATTAAGCGTGTCCATTGGTTATTTCTCTTCCTCTACACTGGACATTCACTTACTTTATTTCTCTTTCTTTTCTCTATGTTATCGATGTTTGTATTTCCCGTTTTTTCATTTGCCTCTTTGATTTGCTTAATGTTTTCGTCCTTTGTGTCTCTCTCTCTCTCTCTCTCTTAGAAGATAAAGATGAGAATGATGATGACGACGATTAAGATGATGGAAGAAGATAGAAAACATAAGATGAAGATTGATCCTGTTTTCATCCAAGGTTAATGTGCTTATTGATATTGTCAATGAATCGCGCCTATCAAGTTACGACTCAGATTGTCCAATCTATTTTATAGTAAAAGAAGGTTTGAAAAGATGATAAAAGAAGATGATGATTATGATGATGAGAAGGATGAGAAGGATAAAGATGATAAAAGGTAAAAAGTAAACATGTTAAGAAAAACGAAAGGTCAATTTCCTTGCTGATTATAGACATTGGTTATTGAGCATATTGAGCGTTAAATTAATGTGTTTACTTCAAGGAACTAAGCATTTCCATCACAATTTATTGATCATCATGTTAATTCATTAATTTTGTTTCGAGAAGAGAAGAGGGAAAAACTTACCTGTAATTGATAATTCGTTAGGGATAATACATCATATTTCTTGTATTCAAATATTGTCTCCTTGTTTTGGTGGGTTCGAATTACATTAATAACAATAGTTTCCAATATCTACTCTGATCGGTGGATACATATTCAATTTTCTTTGACTACGACCTAGTGGATATCACAATCTAAGATGAGAATGATGATCAAGATGATAATAAAAAGAAGATGAAGATGGTGAACAAGATGAAAATGATGAATGTGAATTGTCATTTAGATTTACAGTTGATTGTATGTGGTAATATGAAAATGGAAGACAAGGGAAACGTGTGAAAAGTATTCGCTATTCAATTTATATCAATGGAATTGAATTTCAATTGGATTGAATCAATTTCACCTGGAAAAGACGCCCTCTACCTCTACACTACCTGTAACCCATAGGGCTAATTTTATGTAACCTTCATTATTATGCTTATTTTTGGCAATTTGACCTCGATTGTCCTCTGTCCAAGTATATGGATCCATAGGTTGATCCTATTGCCTTCTAAATCATCAGATAGAGAGAGAGACACCATTTTCTTTATGCAAATCAAACTCGACTTTATTTTTCGTTGTTCTCTTTGATTCTTCCTCTTTCTTTTTCGACATCTTCATCTTCATCTTCCTGTTGTTGTTTCCCTTTGTTATATTTTCAGATCTTTTTATCTTCCTCGTCATCTTCATCATTTTCCTGGATCATCATCATCATCATCTGTAAAAAGCGAGAAAAAGAGAAGATAGAAAATGGTTAATAAAACTGTCACATTTACTCACAATTGATTATCTGATTAACTTTAAATTTTAAATACAATTGAGACATTAAAGTTGTAATAAAAGTGTCTTATTGTTATGTGTGTTTATTTAACTATTTACCAACAGTATTCAGATTATTGTGACAATTTAATATCAACCATTAAATTGTGCGAATCATTAGAATACCTTATTATTATTATTATTTTGCCTTTTCAATCAATATCCAAATCTAATTAACCTAATCTGAGATGAATATTGATCATGAATCAAGCCAATTTGCTAGACAGAATCAATTTCACTTACCCTTAATTTGATAACAAAAAAAGGTTACCGATTAACAGGAATAAATTATGATTAATTTGGAGATGATCTTATTAAGATATATAACAGAATTACCAAGAATCGTATCAATCCAACTACCGAAATTATCTTCTCATCGATTAACTTTATCTTCATTTTGATGATACATTCTAATCCTTTGCTGCGTTTATTTTCAATCCTTTTTCATCCTCATCCACGCTAATGAAAATCAGGCTAATCCATTGACCACAGGTCATGATAATAAGTTAACCTGCCGATGGAAAATAAATGAAAATAAATTATTAATAACAATAGTTAATAAAGATTAATGTTCAGGGAACCTTGGGAGTGTCTCAGGTCAACAGAAATATTATCATGAATAACATGTAACTAATAAACTTATAGTATTTACCATTGATATAAGTTTTTTTTGTTTCCATCTTCAGCTGATCAATTGTTTACCCGATTAACGTTTAAACCAAATCAATTTTCAGCATTAATAGTAAATACAAAAGATAAACTAAGTTGACATGAGCATGGAGAGGAAGATGATTAGGAAGAGGAAAAGTCAACCAGTTGAGTTATTATTGTTATTATTATTTTGTTTTGTAATATTATATAATAATGATGATGATATTATTAATCTGTGTATTTTTGTTCAACATTATCATCATCCTATAGGCTTTGATGATAACTTATTGTTCAATGGGAGGAAAGTTTATCAGTGAGAAGGAAGAAGAAGCGTAATAATAAGATGATGATGATTATGAGAAGAAGATGATGATGAAAGAAGAGAGAAAATGAGAGAGTGAGGAGAGAGTGAAAGTGAAGTAACAAATCCGTGTCACCGACTCTTAATCAATATTACGGTTTAACCTCCCAATCAACTCCTCCAATTGGGGGAGAGTTTGTATCAGAAAAGTATCATAACTTGTAATATGTTATTTCTCTCCTTCAATCTCTCACTTTCTCTCTCATTTTCTCCCTCAATGTGTATATGGATTGTGTCATCGATTTTATTAAGCGTCAAAGATCAACTTCGAGCTTAATAATAATAACTGGCAAAAGCCATATGCACAAATATCTATATCTATTATATAAATAATATGTACATTTATCCATCTAAAGCCTTCCCAGAACTTTATTTTCTTCCTCTAATTGATGTTCACTTCTCCTTCTCTTCATTATTATCATCATAGTCTTCTTCTTCTTCTTCTTCTTCTTCTTTTCCATTATTATCATCATCATCATCTCCCTTCGAATCATTTTTTTTTCGTCTCCTTTTCTTTTCCATATTCTCTTTTCTCTCCTTTTCCATTTGGGGCTTATCATTTACGAAGTGAGAAACCAACATCAATTATTATATTGGCCAATTTGCAGATTTGATACAAAAATAATCTACAGAGGAGTGAGAAGAGAAAGAGAGAGAGAGAGAGAGAGAGGGAGAGGGAGAAAGTGAAAAAATAATGTTAATATTACAAGCGATTTAATCAAATTGATGCAAGTTTGGTAATAGTTAAATGATATTGGTAAATGTTATTACTTTTTTGATTCTAGAGATTAAGTGAATTAGGTAAAAAAGTTGTGACTTATCATGATAATTGATTTGATTGTTTCTGTTTTCACATTATTATGTCAATTTTTTGGTGAGAAAAGGATAAAAATGATTATCTCATATGAAGATATTACTTACTTGTTTTCCATAAAATGTAATCATTAGATTGTCATTAGAATTGATTATTTCCAGTTAAAGTGATTAGTTGTAACTTTCTTTGATGCTACTTCCTTGAATATCTTTTTGATAGACTTGATTTCTATTATTATTATTATTTTGATCCATTCTTGATTCCACTGGGTTGATTGTGATTCTCGTCATCATGATTAACTTCCTTGTCTTCCCTTTGCTACCATTAGTTGAGTGGTTACAGTTTTTAATGATCAAGTTGATGTAAAAGAAAAATATTAAGTTATGAGACCTTAATGCATTTTTTGTGTTCCAATAACTTTTCCTTTCTTTCATTTGATTAATATACCATAAGAGATGAAATTGTTTCTTTTTTTTTATCCAAGAATCATGATGATATTTGGTCGACCACGCGTGTGTTCAAACATCTCCTCCTTTTCTGTCTTCTCCCTTTGAATTAGATTCTGTCTCTCTCATTCTCTGAGTACATGTTCTGTGTGTTATTCTGAAGGGGGAAAAAAAGAAGATTGAAAATGAAGAAGCCAAGTAAAAAACGGTAACCCACCATCAATACATGAATGGATATCTTGTTGTTTTTGTTGATAATAACATTAAATGATGTAGATGATGATGATGATGATGATGATGATGATGATCTTCTCGATGATTTCTGACTTTGACAACATCCACTTCAATTTATACTCTAGGAATAAGTAAACGATTAAAAGCTCACAGCATGAAAATCAATGTGGATCCAAATTGTATATGTGGTGGGATTTTTTTAAACATCAGTCAACTTGGAAATATTTAGTCAAAAAGGCAAAGACAGAGGGAAATCCAGAGTGAGACGATGATTGAGATTATTATTTAAATCCATGGTAAAACTGTAGATCAGAGAGAGAGAGAGAGATCAACAGTTGGTTTAAGAGTAAAAATGGATCAATGGTAAATCACTAGTGGGAGGAAGATACAAGAGAGTGAGAGAGGGAAAGATAATATTAAAGAGCAGGTTATAGTTGTAAGAGTGACTGGAAGTAGGGGGTAAGACAGAGGAAGGGTGAACGGCTCTATGGATGATTAACAATTTCTTAATCATGTAGAAACATGAGACTTGACTCTCATTAGAAGATAGAAAAGCTTTTCTCATTGTTTACCCTAATTACTTACAATTTGGGAGGTCTTTCTGTCCTTACAACCACCGATCCTTATGTCAATCACCACTAACATGTTTAATTAGTTAGAATTAACTATTCTCACTTTAAATACTTCCTGTAAAACACAAGGTTTAAAAAGTAGAAAGAATAACAATTTAATTAGTCAATGATTTATAATTAACTTCTCAATCGTAACAATTGAAAAAAAGAGTTGCTAAGGAAAATCAAACAACAGAAAATTACGATCCCGGTTACTCCATCTGGTGAAGAAAATTGAAAAATAAACTTTTAACTTGAACGCATTTTTCTGGCTCAGGTACATTTTGTCGACTTAGTCAGGTGAGCTGGTCCAGGTCAGTCTTTTCAGTGAGCCACAAGTTATATGGCTTCGACATCGAAAAAAGGTTAGAAGTAGTTACCTTGGTAACAGAAGAGACCAAGTCATAGCCAAGTAACCGCCGCGAAAAGCAAGTGACTGAAATTTCGACTGAAGTAGACGATAAATTGCATAATTGCAATTTCGAGGAAGATTTGATAAAATTTCTTTCTATTGTATTGAGAATGAACATCAGTCATCGAATGAATCGCAATTTTAAAAAACCACACTTGTCGATCTGACAAATGACTGACAGTCGACTCATTCAATTCTAAAGTAACTTCGACTCAGTCGATTTTATCGGGACTTCGGTCTCTATAACAATCCTCAAGCTCTGGACTTTTATTTTTCCTTGACCTTTCAACTGTTTACTTCAACTCTTTAGAAATAATATGGATCAATCAAATTCTTCGTGAGTAAATTTCATCTTTTAGTGAGTGTGTAAATTTACTAATCTTTTTTCTTTATTCTAGTTGCGTTATTTCTCAAATTAGTTCTCGTTTCAATGAATCTTTGTCTCTTTCAAATTTTGAATACTCTATGGACCATAAGCGGCGAGGCAAATGTGTCATTTTCCGTCATGATCATTTCGATGAAGTTGAAGATTGTCACAGAGAAATGAATAAACATCCAGAGAATGAAAATGATGTTCATTCATTGCGAGCTTGTTTTGGTCTCTTGGGATTCGAGGTGATTGTTCATAATGACCTGAAGGAAAAAGAAATCAGATCAACTCTAAAAGCTGGTAAGTAAACCGGATTTTAACGCTACTTTTTCCCGATAATCAAAATACTTTTTTCTTACATCAATATTTTTATTCACAAAGTATCGGAAGAGGATCATTCAGACGAAGATTGCTTAATTCTCTGTTTTATTACTATAAAACAAGAACATTTTTTATCAGCTAAAGATGGCAAATTTGAAATTGAAAGTCTTTCTGAATATTTCAACGCGAAGAAATGCCCTTCATTGGCTGGAAAGCCGAAAATGTGTTTCATTCAGGTAAGTTCATTGTTCTCTAGTTCATGTTGTTTGAACTAATGGTCGATTTCTTATTATAATTTGTGTCTTCTTTCTAGGCATTTCCCGTTTTATATGACGCAAGTATCGAGTTTGACAACGAAGTAGACACACCCTTTTTCGAATTCAAAGGTCTAAATTTCAAAACCTCCATGTGCCCTGATTTCTTTTTTTCATATTCTCGAGTCTCTTACATGCAAACTTTAGCAAAGAATATGTACGAATTTGGCTCGAAATTATCAATACTCGACGTCTTTCTAAAGATCAATCATGATGTCGCTTTAGAATTGGGACCTTCTGATGAAGATGAGGAAGGAGCATTTGTAACGATTTTCTTTACACTAAGTCGACGGCTTATTCTCAAGCCAAAGAACTGATTCCTTAACTTCAACAGATCATAACCATTGGCGTATTTTTATTCAACGATCAGTGAAAACTGTTAACATAGTAGAAAGTGACACTTTTTTGATTATCTAACTTTCTCGATTTGATTCTTAATTTACATGAATGTTCCGAAATTGGAAATAAGGTGAAAATAAATGTGGACAGAGTAAATTCTGTTCCCTAATCAAAACTCTTATGATTGAAAATTACACATCTTCCTCTTTTTTTATAGCCCATATAGTATTAATGACTAGCATACAGTCGGTGGTTTTGAGGGACGAGAACTAGTTTAAGAAATCGAAGAAAGAATTCGAAATAAATTAAGATTGAAAACTATTAATAAATGTAGATTATAACGAAACAAATAAAGAAACTTACGATGTTCCTGGTCGATTCATTTTAATAGATTCAGGGGTTCGATTGAATTTTATTGTTCAGTGAACTTGTGACACTATCGTGAATATGCGAGATTTGGAAATGAGATGAAATGATACAATTAAAATGCTTTATCTAAATTTCATATTATTGTGATTGTTAATTGAAACCTTACAGTTAAACTGAATCATTAGGAATCAATTGATGACAATTTATCATTACAATTTTGATAAAATAAAGGAAAAAAATTAAATTGATTGAGTTACAATTCATCAATCAAAAATTCATTGATGATTATTATCAATCGAGTTATAGTTGACCTTTAATTGTTCCTGATTTATTTAAAGAAGCACAGAAAGAATGGACTCCAGAGTCAAGAAGAGTCGGTGTTATCGCTCGAAAAATTGGTTTGTAAAATCTTTTTCTTCATTTTGTTCTTTTTTGTTAGTTTTACCTGGAGAGAAAAAAGAATAAAATTTGATTTTGATTTTTTTTCTTTTCTTCTTTTCTCACCTATGATTATACAGGAGTTTACCCACTGTGGATGAAAGATGGAACCAGAATATTAACTACTCTTCTACAGGTTAACGATAATCATGTAATTAAATGCTACACATCGGAACAATTTAAAGATCAAGTGATTCATCAGGATAGGTGGAGATATCAAGGATTAGCCTGTGCAATTATCGGTGCTGAAAGTGATCATATTATGAAATATTCTGCAGGATATGCTGGATTATTCAATGAAGCTGGTTTACCACCAAAGAAGAAGATAACCAAAGTTCCAATTACAGATGATGCTATATTACCACCGGGAACACCCTTGTTAGCAACCCACTTTCGCCCTGGTGATTATGTTGATGTTTGGGGTAAAACAGTTGATCATGGTTTCCAAGGGGTCGTGAAAAGGTGGGACTTTGCGGGTGGACATCCAATCAATACAACTAAATGGAAAAGAAGACCAGGTTCGATCGGTCATGGTCGTCGAGCTGGAGGACCTCATAAGGGTAAAAAGATGCCCGGTCACATGGGAAGTGAAAGAAGAACACTCAATGGTGTTCAGATTATGAGAATTAACACCCGATGGAATGTCATTTATATTCGAGGTCCTTCAGTTCCCGGTGAAATCGGTAATTGGTGTTACATATTCGATAGCAAAATACTTGGAAAGTAAGTTGAGATTCTCTTTTTTTCAATCGCAATTATCAATTTTCTAATTTTGTCTATTCTTTTTTTTGTCATTTTCTCTCTCCACTCACAGGAAACTAACGGAGAAAATCCTCCGCCTTTTCTGACGAATTTTCTTGAAGGGACAAAAGATTCATCTGAGAATTTGTATCACCCTGATGTTCATCCTTTCGAAGAGGAAACAATTAAATTCATCGAGACCGAAGAAGAGAAAAGACAAGCGAGAACGGGAGCCAAAATTGCTAAAATTCGTAAATAGTTTAGGTAGATTGTTCTATAAGTTTAGTTCGTTTTTCCAACTTGTAAATTAATGTGAACAACCTAAAATTCAATAATAATTTAAACGTTTAATCGTAAAAAAGTTGATTGCTTAAATGTTCATATCGACAAGTGTGTGCGTGTATATCATTTTCAACGCATTATGATAGGGACAATTAGAGTCTCTCAAGAAGAGATAAAATCGTAATCATCATTTTGCTTTTTTTCGATATCCATATGAAAACAATTAATTGCATGTTCCAAATTTTTTGTGGGGATAACATATTAAGTTGAGACCGTTGAACATGAAATAAGAGCCTTCTCAAGACTCATGAAATGAAAGATTACCTTAGCCAATCGGGTGAAATCAACAATAGCTTTTGATTCTGATCATTGACGATAGAAAAATCGGTGTCAATCAACCCAAATTAGTTAATTGTAAAACAACGATTGTAATTTCTGAACAGCTCATCCTTATTCTAATGAATTTCATCAGTCTAGAAATCGCAATTGAAGTGAAAATTGTAGATTTTTATTGAATTGGGAAACGAATTAATTTACTCTGTTCACATTTATTTTCACCTTATTTCGAATTTCGAAACATTCATGTAAATTAAGAATCAAATCGAGAAAGTTAGATAATCAAAAAAGTGTCACTTTCTACTATGTTAACAGTTTTCACTGATCGTTGAATAAAAATACCCCAATGGTTATGATCTGTTGAAGTTAAGGAATCAGTTCTTTGGTATGAAAAAAAGTTGACGTCTTAGTGTAGAGAAATTCATTACAAATGCTCCTTCCTCATCTTCAGCAGAAGCTCCCAATTCTAAAGCAACATCATGATTGATCTTTAGAAAAATATCGAGTATTGATAATTTCGAGCCAAGTTCGTACATATTCTTTGCTAAAGTTTGCATGTAAGAGACTCGAGAATATGAAAAAAAGAAATCAGGGCACATGGAGATTTCGAAATTTAGACCACTTTCTTCAAACCAAGCGCATGGTTTTTTGCGTTTCATGTCTTCTAAGGGAAATGCCTAAAAGAATACAAGAAACAAAATGAGAAATCAACAAGTAGTTGCACAACAAACAATGAGCACTAGACAATAATGAACTTACCTGAACGAAACACATTTTCGGCTTCCCAGCCAATGAAGGGCATTTCTTTGCGTTAAAATATTCGGAAAGAATTTCAATTTCATATTCCTGATCTTTAGCTAATAAACGGTTATTTATTTTAATGGTAATAAAACAGATAATCAAACAATCTGCGTCCGAATGATCCTCTCTCGATACTTTGTGAATAAAATATTAATAAAATGAGAAAAGTATTTTGCTTGTCGGGGGAAAAGTAGATGATAGAATGTGTTTACTTACAAGCTTTTAGAGTTGATTTGATTTCTTCTTTCTTCAGATCATTGAGAACAATCACCTCGAATCCTAAGCGACAAAACAAGTTCGCAATGAATGAACATCATTTTCATTCTCTGGATGTTTATTCATTTCTCTGTAAAATCCGAAAATTTGATCGAAATGATCATGACGGAAAATGACACATTTGCCTCGCCGCTTATGGTCCATAGAGTATTCAAAATTTGAAAGAGACAAAGATTCATTGAAACGAGAACTAATTTGAGAAATAACGCAACTAGAATAAAGAAAAAAGATTAGTAAATTTACGCACTAACTAAAAGATGAAATTTACTCACGAAGAATTTGATTGATCCATATTTTTTCTACTTTCTTCTTTCTTACTTTTTCTTTTTTTTATTGAAGTAAACAGTTGAGAAGTCAAGGAAAAATAAAAGTCCAGAGTTTAAGAATTGATATAGAGACCGAAGTCATCGAAAAATCGACTGATTTTAGAATTGACTGAGCCGGCTGTCAGTCAATCGACTGAAGCTGATGGAAAAGGATAGTTTTGTAAAATTGTGATTCGTTCGATAACATATGTGTATTTCCAATTAAATAGATAGAAATTTCATCAGAAACCACCTCTAAATAGCAATTTCCGTCGACTTCGGTCGAAATTTCTTCCATTTTAATCACCGTCACTTGCTTTTTGCGTCAGTTACTCGGCTATGACTTAGGTTTCTTACAGCTTCTCTTACTAAGGTAACTACAGTCAATAGCTTGGAAATAACTTTAAATCACTATTAACACAGAAAATTTGATTTCAAGTACAGTCATACCTCTCTTAAGTTACAAAAGAGAGAGAGAGAGAGAGAGAGAGAGAGAGTCTCATTATCTGGTAGTTGACCTGACAGCCGGCTCAGTAAATTCTAAAATAACTTCGACTCAGTCGATTTTATCGGGACTTCGGTCTCTATAACAATACCCAAACTCTGGACTTTTATTTTTCCTTGACCTCTCAACTGTTTAGTTCAATTCTTTAGTAAAATATGGATCAATCAAATTCTTCGTGAGTAAATTTCATCTTTTAGTTAGTGTGTAAATTTACTAATCTTTTTTCTTTACTATGTTAGTGTTGTTTCTGAAATTAGTTCTCGTTTCAATGAATCTTTGTCTCTTTCAAATTTTGAATACTCTATGGACCATAAGCGGCGAGGCAAATGTGTCATTTTCCGTCATGATCATTTCGATAGAATTGAAAAGTGGTACAAAGAAATGAATAAACATCCAGAGAATGAAAATGATGTTCATTCATTGCGAACTTGTTTCGGTGGCTTAGGATTCGAGGTGATTGTTCATAATGATCTGAAGGAAAAAGAAATCAGTCAACTCTAAAAGCTTGTGAGTAAAACTCATTTTAAAACCTACTTTTCCTAGATAATCAAAAAACATCATTTCTCATTTTATTAATATTTTTATCAATTAAGTATCGAGAGAGGACCATTCAGATGCAGATTGTTTGATTCTCTGTTTTATTATCATGAAAATAGACCAGCGTTTATCAGCTAAAGATGACTCTTTTAAAATTGAAACTCTTTCCGAATATTTCAACTCAAAGAAATGCCCTTCATTGGCTGGGAAGCCGAAAATGTGTTTCGTTCAGGTAAGTTCATTGTTCTCTGGTTTTTGTTGATTAAACTACTTGTTGATTTCTTATTTTGTTTTGTTGTAGGCATTTCCCTATTTAAAAGACAAGAATATCGAGATTGATGACGACGAAGTATCATGCTTTTGGCTTGAAGAAAAGGGTCTAAATTTCGAAATCTCCATGTGCCCTGATTTCTTCTTTTCATATTCTCGAGTCTCTTACATGCAAACTTTAGCAAAGAATATGTACGAATTTGGCTCGAAATTATCAATACTCGACGTCTTTCTAAAGATCAATCATGATGTCGCTTTAGAATTGGGACCTTCTGATGAAGATGAGGAAGGAGCATTTGTAACGAATTTATTTACACTAAGTCGACGACTTGTTCTCAAGCCAAAGAACTGATTCCTTAACTTCAACAGATCATAACCATTGGGGTATTTTTATTCAACGATCAGTGAAAACTGTTAACATAGTAGAAAGTGCCACTTTTTTGATTATCTAACTTTCTCAATTTGATTCTTAATTAACATGAATATTCAAAAATTTGAGATATGACGAACATATTATAATAAATGTGAACAGAAAAAATTAATTCCCAATTCAATAAAAATCTACAATTTTCACTTCAATTGCTATTTCTAGACTATTTCCGAGATGAAAATCATTCATAATACAGCCACGAAAAATGAGACGAGAACAAAAATTGTATCAATCGCGCATAGAGAGATAATTTTCGTGAAATTACAATCTTTGTACCATTAACTGATTTCGATAGCTTATTGCAAACAGAAGGTTCGACAATTAGTTGATCTATTTTTTCTTTCAAATTTTTCGTAACTTCACAAATCAAAGTTACCCAGAAGAACAAAGTTCTTCATCGGTTAATCTGATCTACGATGACCAGCAAATTAATTATCGTCAATGTTAACGTCAAGTAAATTGTTTTCATAAGGATATCGAAGAAAAGCAAAATGATGATTACGATTTTATCTTTTCTCGAGAGACTGTAATTACCCCTTATTTGCCTATCATAATGCGTTGAAAATGATATACACGCACACACTTGTCGATATGAACATTTAAGCAATCAACTTTTTTACGATTAAACGTTTAAATTATTATTGAATTTTAGGTTGTTCACATTAATTTACAAGTTGGAAAAACGAACTAAACTTATAGAACAATCTACCTAAACTATTTACGAATTTTAGCAATTTTGGCTCCCGTTCTCGCTTGTCTTTTCTCTTCTTCGGTCTCGATGAATTTAATTGTTTCCTCTTCAAAAGGATGAACATCAGGGTGATACAAATTCTCAGGTAAATCTTTTGTCCCTTCAAGAAAATTCGTCGGAAAAGGTGGAGGATTTTTCTCCGTTAGTTTCCTGTGAGTGGAGAGAAAATGACAAAAAAAAGAATAGACAAAATTAGAAAATTGATAATTGCAATTGAAAAAAAGAGAATCTCAACTTACTTTCCAAGTATTTTGCTATCGAATATGTAACACCAATTACCGATTTCACCGGGAACTGAAGGACCTCGAATATAAATGACATTCCATCGGGTGTTAATTCTCATAATCTGAACACCATTGAGTGTTCTTCTTTCACTTCCCATGTGACCGGGCATCTTTTTACCCTTATGAGGTCCTCCAGCTCGACGACCATGACCGATCGAACCTGGTCTTCTTTTCCATTTAGTTGTATTGATTGGATGTCCACCCGCAAAGTCCCACCTTTTCACGACCCCTTGGAAACCATGATCAACTGTTTTACCCCAAACATCAACATAATCACCAGGGCGAAAGTGGGTTGCTAACAAGGGTGTTCCCGGTGGTAATATAGCATCATCTGTAATTGGAACTTTGGTTATCTTCTTCTTTGGTGGTAAACCAGCTTCATTGAATAATCCAGCATATCCTGCAGAATATTTCATAATATGATCACTTTCAGCACCGATAATTGCACAGGCTAATCCTTGATATCTCCACCTATCCTGATGAATCACTTGATCTTTAAATTGTTCCGATGTGTAGCATTTAATTACATGATTATCGTTAACCTGTAGAAGAGTAGTTAATATTCTGGTTCCATCTTTCATCCACAGTGGGTAAACTCCTGTATAATCATAGGTGAGAAAAGAAGAAAAGAAAAACATCAAAATCAAATTTTATTCTTTTTTCTCTCCAGGTAAAACTAACAAAAAAGAACAAAATGAAGAAAAAGATTTTACAAACCAATTTTTCGAGCGATAACACCGACTCTTCTTGACTCTGGAGTCCATTCTTTCTGTGCTTCTTTAAATAAATCAGGAACAATTAAAGGTGAACCATAACTCGATTGATAATAATCATCAATGAATTTTTGATTCTCTTTTGTCAACTCAGGCTTAAAATCATCGGCTCTCTTTTTGACCCACCATCGAAATGGATGAGTAGCACGACGCTTGGCATATAAATTTCGATAAAAAACCGACATGACACAAGAGAAAAAACTAAATCAAATAAACTAAAAACAATTAATCAACATAAGGAAACAATTAAATTAACCAATTCTTGAAATTGAAAAATGAAAACATTCAAAAAAAAATATCAACCAAAACACATGGAGAAAAACACCAGCGCCATCTGTTGAGAATGAGACAAACTAATGGGAAACGAAAAACTTTTTCATCAAATCAACAATTAAATTAGAAAACAAACCTAATCATCCAAAGTTAATTAGCTAATTAAAATATCCAGAGGATAGTTTAATTTCTTATTTTATCTTATTTTATCTTATTCTCCTTGCAAATATATAATATTACTTTGTTGTTGATCTAAAGGCAAACATTTGATTAACTTTGTTATTTACAATTAATCCTATTAACCCAAAATTAACGGAAACAATTAAACCAGAATCAATCAATCAAATATCAACAGACAATTGACACTTTATAACAATTTAACCTGATTAGATTTAATTCATGAAACGGATGCAACAACAGGAGAATTTAATTTTTCAATAAAAGCTTCAATTTCCTGATAATAATGATAAAGATTTCAAATGAATGTCAATTTACCGGTAAATCTGATCAACAACAATTAACGTCATGAAACATGATTATCACTCAGCTAAGTAATAATAATAATAAGATGTTAACAATTGATGAATGGATTAACACTTACAAAACTAATAATAACAATTAAATTTCCAATGAAATAAATGAAAATGGCAACAATTTAATTCAAATTAAAACTAAAAACAAAAACAAAACTTTAATCAAAGAAAAAAATCAAAGTAAAGACTCAAAGGTAAACGTGAGAAATATAATTAACACTAGAATTTAATTAAATCAAGGTTAGAATATAATTAAGACAAAAGAAGAAGAAGAAAACAAATTACAATTAACAAGACAATCAAGAATACAATTAAAGGAAAATTAAAGTAACCAATGGAAAAGTATTAAAGACAAACATTGGAAGAATCAAAAATCTAACTATTATCATCACTTAGCATCGTAAACAATTAAGGTAATGATGAGGGTGGAGGGATGTGATTAGATGATGATGATGATAAAAGTGATGAAAAAGAAGACAGGAAAAGCCCAACATCATCATCATCATCATCCTCATCTTTTGTTTCTTCCGATGAGAGAGAAGATTCTGAAAAGTTGTTTCGTCCAATAACTTGATTTATCTCATTCAATGAATTGAATTCATGATGAAAAGGGTGACAGAGAAGAGGGAGGATGATAAGAGGAAGATGAGAGAGTAAGAGTGAGTGAGAGAGAGAGAGAGTGAGTGAGTGGCCATACTTGTTTTCCTTCAGAGAAACATATTTTTCCAGTCTAATGTTAATTCACAACCTTCATAGTTAACTAATTGTTGTTTCTTCCTCTCTAGTGGATTACAATTAAACTTAAATTTTCTATTGATAATTTTTTACAATTACGAATATAAAAAATCAACTCCCTTTTTTATCTTCATCTTCATCATCTTCATCATCCTCATCATTAGAAAATAAGACAACAACAACATCATTATTATCTTTCACTTTTTGTTTTCTTCCACCTTAAAGTTAATCGTCTATTACGAGAGAGAAGGAAAAAATATCAATAGAATAATAAATTGTGTCTAAATTGCTCAACAATAACTTTTTAATTGTGACCAATTCCTGGAATTGAAGATAAATTAATAAACCATAATATTAATTAACTTAATTGCTCGTAACCAGGTAAAAACCCTTGAAACCAGAAAGTAAAATGTTTCGTTGTCCAATTGGTAAATTGTTGATTACAATTGTGTTTCTATCCCTGATTGAAGGTAAGTTTCAGTGTTTACATTTACAATTAACAACAAATCAAATCAATATTGTTAATTTTTTCTTCATTTCTGTTCTAATTGAAACAATGATTGTCTAACAATTTGCTAATTGTTTGGTCTCAAAACTAAATGATCACCATGTTAACCCATCAAAACGTTGAAAATATTGATGTTTTTCATTTGTTGACAATTTAAGGTAAGAAATTGATTTTCACATTATCCCAAATGGATATTAATTGTTTACAGTTTAATCATGTTGATTATCCCTTTAATTTTGATATTTTAATCCCATTTGTTGAGTTAATTGTTGTTTTATTTTCTTGTTGATGATCAGTATACTCATGTGCCTTTTGCCCTGATGGTTGGAGATTAATTAATCGAGAGACCTCAAAGTGTGTCCGTTATTTTAAGGATAATGTTAACTACACTGAAGCGGAATATATTTGTCGTAACATTTACGAAGGTCATTTAATTGTTATCGAATCGAAACAAGAACAACGATCCTTGGTCCAATATCTTTACGGAGAAATCGGATTCACCAAATCTCCGGTTACATGGATTGGGATTAAAGTCGAACCTCCAAATAAACTGACCACTTCCGATGGTTCGTCTTCACCTAAATATACAAATTTCGATGCCGAACCAGTTGATTATTCATCTGAACGATGTATGAAAATATTTTCACTTGGAATTAAAAACGATAACTCTGAACATGGTCTATGGACACCCGATAACTGTGGTTATGGTGATTCGGGTTTCGTTTGTCAAAAATTGATCCTTGACCGAGGAAGGGAAATACCTCAAGGCGATGATCCATTAGCTGGTAAAAACGAAGGTAAATTGGTGATGATTAATTGTCTTCTCTGATCAAGACTCTAATTAATTTCTGATTTTAATTCACTTTCTCTCTTGATTAACATTTGAAATTTCATCTCTCAATGTCTCAGGCCTGAAGATTAGTTGATTTGGTTTACATTCTCAATTCATTTTCCTTGATAATTTCTTGATTCTTTTGTCATCATCAGAGTATCAGGGTCAATAGCAAGTAATTCAGTTCGATGATGATGATAAATCTGTTGATAATCAGCCTATTTAATTGTGATTAAGGTTTTTCCTAAGCTATGATATCATTTTGAAATACAATTTGATCCAATTTCCTGTTTTTGGCCTCAGTTTAAATTCAACCAATTGAATTGATTTACGTTGATTAGCAATTGATTCAATTGAGCAAAAAAACATGATAAACACAATGATTATTGCTGATAATTGATTAAGAAAAGGATGATAATCAATATAATCACCATGATTAAAATGAGATCATCATCAAGTGATTACAATTAACTGAATAAGTTATTTCAAGGTATTTCTTGTCCCCCTTAAAACTAATCAGTTAATCAAAACATTGTTGATCAGCAACAATCAAAAATTGATTAGAAAACCAGATTAACTGTAAAAATTAAGCTTAAATCAATCAAATTTAACCCAATATCTAAAGGACATAACAACAGTTATAATTTTGTTACAATTAGAAAACAAATATTTAATTAACTTGGTGAAAATATAAATTTATCATGTTGCTGTTAATCAATTGATTTATTTGATCACAACTTGATCAGGTTGATGAACATGTTGATTAAATCAATTGGGTTTCCAGTTTCCTTGCTAAATTGTTGATCTTTTCCCGAAACAAATTACCTGATGAATATGAAATTGATTATGATGATAATTTAACAGTTCGGACATTGGCCTGAGGTTCAGTTTCCTCTTGAGAGACAAAAAAGTTAACCAGTTCTCAACAATTTACCAACAATCAACTTAATCAACTGATCCAACCACAAATCACATACACCTAAAACTAACCATTGATTTAATTGCTGCTCTTTCGGTACACAATTTACTAATCATTTGTCCCTTTCTTTACACTCATAGTTATGACAACTCAATTTCTTCTGGACCAATTTAAGGAACAATTAACTTTAATCAAGGATATTTGTGAGAGCCAAATGAAAGCCATTGAAAGATTAAGCTCAAATCATATTTACATGTTACAACATGTTAAACAAGCAAAAGATTTATAACTAAATCAAGACAATTAATTATCGATTAATAACCAATTTAGATGAAAAATCAACACAACAATTTAGCATTAATCATTTTAAAATTAACTCTGTAATTTTATTATTCTCACAATCCAACCAAAACTTTAATCAATCTGTACACATTTCATATTCATAAATTGTGACACCAACAATCAAATCAAATTGTGCTCTTAATTTAAAATCAGACTTTCACTTTTTGATTGTTTCTTTTACCATTGAAAACAATATCACTCTATGATTAACTACAATTAAATTGTACTACAATTCTGACTCCAACCTGAAACTTTCACCTCAAACAACAATCAAATCCCAACAATCAACAAATCAAAGTGTAAGATTTTTTTTTCAATTATGATTATTTCATGTCCATTAACTGACCATTACCTTTGATTGAGAAAACCATTGGGTCAAGATTAATGATGACCAGTAAATAAAACAATCAAACAAAAGTATCATTACTCAGTATTATCAATTGAAGGTTAGGATTAAATGATCAAAAGTGATTAATGATTAAAAACCAAATTGTTGATGATAATCAGCAAACAATCAACCTGATCAACCATAATTTACAAAGGCAATCAAATTTGTATTATTAATATCAATTTATTAACATTAGAATATCAATATTAACTTAACTTATGTTAATCTGTTATAATTTCAAGTGATTAACTAATTGTTAATCATATTTATCCACTTTCACTGTTAGTAAATTAAATTAAATCAACAACACTTTACGATTATAATCATTTCATGTAACTTGTATTCATTTCAATTTCGTGACCAGAATAATTGGTTTGATTAAATTAATTCAATTCTAATTGTTTCCAGTGATAATAAAGGTAATCTAATAATCTTTAATTGTAATCATGAAAATGACCATCACAATCAATTAGAATTAACAATGTGATTAAAGGATAGTCACGAATATGGGAAAACCGTTAATTGTGATTAAATTGATCACCAAAAGGGAACCAAATTTAGTTAAACAAGGAAAAAAAAGCTTAATCAATTGGCTACAATTTAGTAAATCTAGTTGATGATTAAAAGTTTTTAATTGCTCCAAGAATGGCTGTTAATTGTTACAATAGGCAATTAATTATTGATATAATACATTTACTACAAAATGGTGAAAATGATTAGTCTTTAATTGTGATTAATAATTTGTTGTTTTTGGCACTTAATTGATTTGTTTTAATTGCTGATAACAGATATTTTCAATTGTTAATCATTTGATTATATTAATAATTAACTATTATCTCAGCGAGGATAATTGATCAACAATTAACACTTTCACACAAATACACACAGCTAATAGTGTTGGTCATCAGTTAATTGTTTCAAAGTTACAATTAAAATTGTATAATTATGAAGGACTATTCAACTTGATAGTTGATTAAATGATGTGATTAGTTAATTGCTTCAAATCATTTTCATATTAAACCAATGGATCATGTTAATTTATGATTGGATATGTTGACTAGAAAACAAAGATTGATATTAGATTATTGTTTAATTGTTGTTGATTGGGCACTTCGTTAGGGTATTTAATTGAGCTTCATTATCATCACTTAATCATCTTGATCATCTTGATCATCTTGATCATCACCACCATCCAGTTGATCATGATGATAATCAACTTGATGATTGTTTGCTTTGAGTTCATTGAAGCTTTAACTTGTTGATTGTGGAGAAATTTTTTCCTTAATCATCTTCATCCTTCTGTGTAAACAATTAGTTGATTGTTTACAGTTAATGATCAATCGTCTTCATCAGCATCTTCATCATCTTTATCTTTATCATTTTCATAGTAGAAACAAGAAAGTTTCATCAATCTCCAGGAATCGCCATTGATTATAATCTCACAGGTAAACAATTAAACGATATCATTAACCAGTTAACAATTAATAAATTGAGATAACTTTTCCAGTGTAAGGAAATCGATCCATCTGTAATTAGTAATTAAAAGAAACAATCAGATTAAATTAACATACAGAATTTGATTCAATCAAATGAGATTCACATTAACATTCACCGTTAGAATGAATAAGAATTGATAAATCCAGAATTTCCCGGAATTCATGATAAATGTGATGATAATATTGTTTCAATTTTAATAACATGATGAAAAATAAGGTCAGAAACGTGAGGGGGATTGAGTGGGTGAGAAAATCATGTCACAATATAAACAGAAAAGCTCAGGAACATGAAGATATCAAGAATTTTCAGAAAAATCACCAAGAAAAATGAGAAAGAAAATTTTTCAACTAATCAAATATTCACCGGCGAAAACAGTATTAATTATAATCTCTCCCTCTCTCTCTCTCTCTCTCTTTCTTTCTTTCTCTGAATTTTCTGAGTAACAATTAACAATCTCCAAATGATTCAATAATCAAAGAAGAGTAAAGTTAATTTATATTCCCACCAAGTATTCAAGTTAATTGTCACTGGATCAGTTTCATCATGTGCTCAGTTTCAAATCAACAACTGAATCAAGTTGAAACTTTTTTTTCTGATCTACTCTCAAGTCTAATTTGATTGTCACCTTAAATATATTATCATCATAATCATTACTCGGTACTTGTTATTTTGCTCAATCAGGTAATCTTATGAGATTATCATGAAAAAGAAAAATAAAATTCTGGATTCATCAATCCGGAAAACTGAAGAGATGAAGATGATCATACAATAATAATAAGTTAACCATAAGATGATGATGAAAAAAAAGGTTAATCCTATTGAGATGAAATCAATGGTAAGAAGATAATTTATCCTCATCTTTATTTACCTTTAGCTTCATATTATCATCACTTTCATCACCAATGAAACCGGAAAAGGAAATGATGCAGAATGTATGAATATTTCCACATCTACTGATTAAGATAAACAATCAAATGGAGTTAATAACTTACCTGTAACAATTAACATTTGCTCTCGATGAACAGTTAAAAATGATCCTTCAGCTGATAATTCACATTTATAATTACCACTGGTCTCAGGAATAACATCAGAAATAACAATCGTTGTACCATTAACTGATTTTGGCAGCTAATTGTTCAATTAGAAAGTTCGACAATTAGTTGATTGTAAATTTTGTTCTCTCAAAGTTTTGCAAATTCGCAAATCAAAGTTACTCAAAGGAACAAAGTTCATAATCGGTTGACCATATCTACGATTCTAATATAAACTGTATTGGCTTCTTGTTGATTATTTTCTAATATTTTCTTGATAACTTTTTATCTTCATGGAATCATGATAAAAACGATGATCACCAAATTGATTATCGTCAATGATCAGAATCAAAAGCTATTATAATTTATTGATTTCGCTCGATTGGCTAAGGTAAACCTTTAATCTTTCAGGTCACTGAGTTTCTGAGTCTTACATTGGCTCTTGTTTCATGTTCCATTGTCTCAACTTTATCATGAACTTTTCCCTCCATGTAAACTGTTGATTCTCAAGAAAAAAAAATAATCAAGTTACTATTTACCTCTAATGGTATCTCTGGCATGGGGAACAGTTGAATCTTCTGGAAACTATGAGGAATGTAACGATAAAATTCAGTCTCGTTTTTGTACCATTTCAGTGAGTACAAGCGATCACCATAATCTAATTCATAGTCACATATAAATCTGCCAGAATCTCCAGCAGATAATAATCTTGGAACTTGGAATTGTTTTATCCTTAAACATGAAAGTCCTGCAATGAGAATGAAATTAACACGATAAGTATGATTGAAGAAGTAACAAAAAAACTGAGGTTCATTATAAAGTTACCCTGAAATAAAAAGTTCATGATAAATATATCAGCTGAAAGTCTGAATGGTTTTCGGGTGAAAAAAAAGTTCCAAGATGATTCTTGAATGAAATGATCCAATGAATTTTTCATGATTGAACTAAACTATTGAATGAATAGTTAACCACCAGATTAACTAGATTAACTTTCAATCAATTGAAATTAGTTGAATCAAATTTGGTACATTTGCCTTTGATCATGATGACGATGAGAAGGTGAAGAAGATGAAAAAAGTTCTGATCAACTGAACAACATTAATCTCTCAATTTAACAATAGCTGATTAATCACTTTAAAGGAATCGAAAAAAAAAATTGAGACAAAATTAATGATAAACTTTTCGGTTTCTCTGAATAATTCAATTGAAATCATTAATCAGATTTACCAACATCATGAAAATAGTGTTAAGATTGATTGGAACATGTTAATTGTTTGTTTTGAATAATTTTTCATGCTTAAAGTTCAATGATAATCAGAATATGAGTCTCATGAAATTAGAAGAAGAAAAATCAGATTTTCGAAGCGAATTTGTCATCATCATCTTCTCATCTTCATTGATTGGCAATTGCATCATGATTATGATGATGAGCTGAACTAATAAACTTACACAATGAGAGGCAAAGAAGCAAATAAATTCATTCATCTACTGAACTTTTATCATGATGATCATCATCTTCATCTCATCAGCTCGGTTGAACCTGAATAGCATTTAATGTGATGAGAAACATTCATCTGAACATTTGTTGATTCACCTTTAATCATTATCCCAATAAAGAAAAGTTAATAACATCAACATTCATTAAAGATCAGTGATAATCATTAATGGTGATTAAGGAACAATTAAGAATCAAAATATAATTGAATTTATTGAGATTCGAAAAGATTAGAACTTTTTTTTTGCTCTTCCAACATTTTGCTCATCGAACTCGGCTCAATATTAGCAATCAACTAATTGCTCGTAAAAATTAGTTGACACTTTAATCCCCTGTTCAGTAATCCAAATTGATTGTGATAAATTGTTCTAAATTTACTTGACCATAATTAAAATTAATATTTAAGCAATTTGATTAATGTTTAGTCCATTATCATTGAATCAAATGGTTGGATATATTTAAATTAATTGCTACAGTTAAATAGTTAATCTAAAGTGTATCAATATATTACAAGTAGCAATTTGATTCCGTTTCAACTGGCAATTAATTGTTTACAAGATTATTACAATTAAACTTTTAACTCTTAATGAGAACGGTAGTAAAAAAGTTAATCTAATTAATTGTAAATAAAATGAATCATTTATATATTTATGTTTTATAAGAATCAAATTGTAATATTATGATCATAAACAGTAATAAGTTAATTTAAAACCGAGTCAATGATTAGTTAACAGTAATCATTGGGTGATACAAATTTAATCACAATTGAGTAAACAATTAAGGTACAAATGGATTAAGTAAATTTTGATGATCAAGGATGAAGATGATAAAGAGAAACCAAAAAAAGTTTCTCATCTTCATCTTCATCTTATTGATGCTGATGTCAACTCTCAATGGATGAAAATATTTTCATCTTAAAGATGATGATGGATGAAGCTTTTAAAATAATGTGATGACAACAATGATGAGGATGATCAACTCTCCGAGCATGACAATCGTGTTGATGAAGTTTCAATCATCATTATGGTCAAATTGATGACCATTGATGTTTAATAAGCAAAAAATAAATTCCGAGTGAAAATTTTGACAATCAGCTTAAGTGGTCAAGTTAAACAATTAGCCAAATAATTTTAATTTACTTTCTTGATCCTGTAAATTAAATATACTAATCAACAGGATAAGGAAATGATGATAGTAAAAAATATAATGTATCTTTTGATTGGTCTCTCTGATTATCATCTGGGTTGCACATTCTAGATGATGATGAATATGAGAAGGTGAGGATGAGGATGATGATGATCATGTGGTGGGATGTGAGTTTATATGGATCTTTATTATTACTCTTTGATAATTTTTTTCTTCTTTTCGTCTCTTGAGATATTGGTGAAAAAGATGAAGATGAATACAAGTTATCATCTTTATCTTCATACTTTTGACCCTCTTTCTATTTTTCTTTTACCTTTCTTTTCATCATCTTCATCTTCATATGATAAACAAGAAATGAAGGCCTTTGATATTTTCCATCTTCATCTTTTTTCATCATGTTTTCATTTATAAATATATATTAGTAGTAGTTCATTTTCACTCATGAGTTTCAATTGATTTGACTTTACTCTCATCATTTTAATCATCCACTGTCTCATCTGATCATCATCAATATTCATCATCACCCTCATCTCAATCCAAGCTAATTACAATCAAAGTATTAAGATGATGTAAGAAATTTGAACAACAATCAATTGAACAGAAACAATTCAGTTTAATGGTAATAAAGAGAGAGAGAGTAAGGTATGAATTCTTTGGAAAATTTAGAAAATTCAAGTTTTCATGATAATGGAATATAAGTTGTTGAAAAGTTCTAATAACAGGAAGAAGGTGGGAAAAGATTAAGAAGATTAATCTAATGAAATAAAATAATCTCATTGAGAGTTAATCATAATTCATATTATCAGCATGAATTATCGCATCGATGGGATTAACAAGTTCTAATATGAAGGAGAAAAAGAAGAAGAAAAAAATGAAAATTCTGTTAAGCTTGAGAAAAAAAGCTCATTAAATTCGACATTTGAGTTCGACATGTTCGAAGATGTAAGAAGATGAGCAAGATGTAAATGATGATGAGAAAGTGATGAACAATGAATTGATTGAAAATGAGTTATTCTAATCCGTTTCATGGGAACTTAAGTTTTTTTCCCTTATCATGTGAAGGTAAAACTTTGGAATAAAAAAAAGTTCTAAGATATTGAGAAGGTGGGGAAATACAGGGAGAGGTGGAAGTGGGAACAATATCTCCAAATGAATGTAATGTTAACTCTCTTTCATATTTGACTGAAAAGTTCTGAAAGTGGCTTAACATGGGAAACTGAAATTCCCTGTTAACAATAAATTCTTAGGAAAAAAATAAATTCGATATTGTTTTTTACCTTTTCCATCATAGAAAACTACATCACTCATCATCATTGAACATTATCATGAACAGAATATGATCATCATTATATATCATCAACTATTCCAAGGGTCACTTGAGATAATATGAATGCTGAGATAATGGTCAGGGAGGGGATTGAATGTTCATAATTCCCGATGTAACAATTTACCTTGAAACGGTAAATATTGAGTATCAATCCTGTTTTCCAATTTATTAATATTCTGATAATTAGAATATAAAATGATGAAAGTTCTGAAAAATTGTGCTGATTTTTGTGTGAAATTGACAACAATCAACTGATTGACAGAAAAGCTGAACAAATTGATTAATCTCCCGATGAATATGATGATTAGAACATTTTTTCTCGGCTATTTACTCTAATGTTTTGTTGAAAAGTTTCACGAATATTCAGATTCATCATGATTAGAATCAGAAAAAAAGCATATGAACAATATGAACAATAAGATTTAACATCAATCATGAAGTTTCATGATAAATTTCAAGCTATTTGACAAGGAAAAGGCCGTTACTTTAATAATAAGAAGAAGAAATCGAAAATTCGAAAAAGTTATTAAGTTCTATCTTTTTATTTTCGAAATTCAAAAGTCAAAAATTCTTTGATTCCAATGATTGAACTCGAAAAACTGATAGAATTTTTTCCATGTAATGTTATTGCTTCATCATGGAGATAAATAAATGATCTATCAAAAAATGGGAACTTTTTGTTCAAGTGGTTAACCCTGAGGGGCTATTGAATTATGAACCAAAACAATCCAATTTCATGATAACATGGGAGATAAAGATGAAATTGTTTACAGAAAAGTCAAAAAAAAACAGAGAAAACATTTTAACATGGAAAATACTCAGAATATTGTGATAAAGAAATTCTGATGAATACAGAATAGCATAAACTCAGCATTCTCCCAATGATAATTTCACAAGATCCAGAACTTTTATCTACAACCACACCCAATGATAAACAGTATGAGTTATTGTCCATCATCATGACCAATCAGATTAATTACTCTGACAATTCAATGTTACTGGAGATTATTTTGTTTCCGCTTCTGTAACCTGATATAATGTAACATTTTCATCTCAATTATATTGATCATCTGTTGATATTGACTACATGATATCATGAATTGATCAGACACACACACGTAAATATATGAATAAAGAACATGATAAAAAAGTTCTGACTAAGATAATCTATTTTTATCTCAACATATAGATTCAGGAAATTTTAATTTTCTAGACTAAGAGATAAGTTGAGATGATGTTGATGATTTTCATGGTGATTAGATGATGATAATTGATTTGTTATGTTGTTTTCTGAGTCTTTTTAATTTCAGTTGAACTTTTCAATCAACATCAAAAAGTTTTTCAACTTGAAAACATTGAAATTTCAATTAGATTGTTATTGTTGTTTGCAACATGATCATGCTATTGATGATGATGATGATGATGATGAGATAAACAGATGATTGGGATAATGATGATCAATCTGATGAGCATTGAATGAAAACCGATACTTTTTTTGTTCAATTTTCATGTTACTTTTTTTGCCATTGAAAATAATGAAGTTTTCAATTCTGATGACAGACTGAGGTGGATTCCCAACTGAGGATAACAATCAACTAAATCAGTTTGGGTTAGTAAATGATCAAAGTTATCATCATTTGTCCTCATCCTTTTAATATTATCTTAATTTGTCCTCACAAATAACAACCAAATACAAACTATTAACTGGATCAAGAGTTAATTGTTACTGTTAACTTGCTGCTTCTTTTGCGCCTCATTCAAACTAATTGCAATTGATTTGCTTCTTCATTTCAATTTCATCTCTCTTTCCCATCGCAATTAAATCAGTTTATCAATTAATCTGAGCTTAGAGAAATGAGAGAGAGAGAGAGAGAGAGAGAGAGAGATAAGGTAAGTTCATGATGATGAAGATTCTGTTGAAGATAATGAGAAGTTGGAACTTTTTTCATCAACCTCTGAATCTACCACCTTTTACCAAAAGCTATTGGGACTTCAATCACTTCAATCAATTTAGCTTTCATCACACTAATTGAACCACTTTCACCATCATCATCACCATGATCATCATCATCATCATGCTTATCATCATCATCTTCAACATCAACTTATGCAAAATAAGAAGCAAAATAAAAAAAAGTTATTGTCATATCATCATCATCTTAATGATTCTAATAATGAATAACAACAATGCTAATATAATTCTCAGTACATGATATCCCTGTCAGAATTTACTCTGCCTCCAGTTTCTCGTAATAATATTCAATATTATTGTCATACTGAATTCATCATGTTCCCTGAAACTTTTATATCTATTATCAGTTTGATTCTTGATCATCATCATGTTTGATTATTGTTTTTTTTTCACTGGGAAAACTACATGATAAAAATAATATATTGAGCAAACGAGGGTTGATCATGTTCAAGTGAGATTTAAACATTTGAACAGTAAGTTAGCCGTAAACTAAATTAGCTTAATCACGCAATAAGCAAGTTAATTCAATGAGAATTAACAATCTTGAGGTAAACAGTATAACGATGATGATCAAGTGGTGGTAGTGATGGTGATGGTGGATGATGAACAAGACTGATGAGGATGATTTAGTTAATAACGGTAACAATTTAAGAAGCAGAGAAATGTTTTTGTTTATTAAATGGCCTATTGATTTTCAATTGGTTATCATTTGGATTCATTTTATTATCATCATTCATTATCAACATCATGATAACATATTACTTGTTATCAGTTGATTGCTGCTGATTGTGATCAGACAGAAACTAATATAAATCCAAGATAATGGGTGGAAAAAGTTGATTAGGTTAATACTAATAAGATGAATGAAAAATTTATCTGATTCATTTAATTCACAATCAACATTATCATGATTCTTGTGAATGAATTTTTTTCCAGTTCAATTTTTTGTTACTCTTTTATTCATTTCTATTTATTTTGTTACACTTTCGTTTTCAGGCTCTCATCTCATAGACTATTATATTATATATATAAATTTTGTCATGATTTCTGTAATTTAGAAATTCAATTCAAACCTCTGAACAGAACTGAACTTTTGCTAGAAAACGTTTTCTTATTTTCTTTTACGCCAGAATTTTCAACTTATCCTGGAAAATAATATTCTCTGAAACTGTCTCACGTCTCATTGACATTGAAATTATTTCAATAAACATTGTCAAATGGTTTTCAAAATACCTCTGGGAATTTCATGAAACAAAATGATCCAGAAATAATATATATATAATCAGAACTTTTGAAATAATCATCATCAACCTTGTCCGTATCTTCAGAAATCCCCCATGTTATCAGGTTCAATATCCCAGAACTAACCACAACATGGACAAAGATCATGAATGAAATGAAAGGAAACAAAATCAAGTAAAAGAATAAAAAATTTCATGATAATTAGATTGATGCTCTGAAATGAAACTGAGAAATTTTTCAAATCAATTAGTAGAAATGGATAATTACAGTTATCTCTCAGGATCTATTAATATTACAGAATAAGAATTTTGTAAATTTTAACTGAAAACTTTCATCTATTCCCATGGTTACTGAGTAAAAGACTGAATCTGTCAAAGTTGTGGGTGGAAAATGATGAAATATAAAATTGTTATGAATATATGATATTTGGTATTATCTTTAATGCTTATCAATAATAATTTTCAACAGGATCATGATAATCAATTGACAGAATCAGAAATAATAATATGATATTAAGAGAAATGAGTTGAGAAGTAAAAAAAAAAGTTCAACATTAATCTCAATATTTTTACTTTCCATTGGAATCATTATCATGATGATCATCTTCTTTATCTTCATCAGAACTTTCTTTTCCTCTTTCAATGTTTGTTTGCATGTTTCATGGATTCAAATTCATTTTGTTCATTTCACTCACTTTTCCATCATCATGATGATATTAAGAATCTGAATCTTCACATTCCTCATAAATTTTACCTTCAGAATTTATTTGTTTTTTTCATCATCATTTCTTTTGTTTCAGTTATCATGAAATACACTTTCATGATGATACTCATTGTGGTGGTGATGATGATGACAAGAAGAGAAAACAAATTTTTCTCACTTTCAAACTTGATTTATTTCATCTTCTTTCATCACCTCAACTATTCAGAGAAAGTAACAAAAATTTTCCCCATGAAATTTCATGGTAATGATAATATCTCTCTCTCTCTCTCTCTCTCTCTCTCTCTCTCTAGATTCTGATTTCAACTTAATAACAATTTATCTTTGACAGAGAAACGACATTCGCGCCTTTTGTTTACAATTTGATTTATATCATACAATGTAATCATTTTAAAACTTGCAAATTATTAATAACAATTAACTGATTCATACTCCAAGACAAGTTTAATTAAATTACTCTAACAATTAACAACCACAAAAATATTGAAACTTTTTAGAAACAAAATTTTTCAAATGTGATTAGTAAATTGTTTGGTGGGTTAATATAAGTTACAATTAGATCAATAATTAATTGTTGCTGCTAATGTTGTTGGTAAACATTGATTAACACTGATTTACAGTTGATTAGCATTTAATTGTGTTAATAACAATCAACTATATCATTTCCTTCCTGATGTTATTTTTCATCACCATGATTATAATGAATATCAAAAACTCATCAATCATGTTGAACTTTTTTTTTCACCATGTTGTTGATAGTTGTAATTAAGGTTAAGTTAATCACCTCTGATATTTAATCACAATTTATGAACAGGTTGATAATGTGTATATATAGTTGATTCATGAATGAACAATTAATTCAATCACAAACTATTATCACCGAAGTAAAATCAAAGTTATCAAATAAAAGGTGAAAACTTAAAATCCAAAATAAATTATCAATAAGATGCATTTGGATTATAATCAAATGGTAATTAAATTGTAATCGCTTACCTTTAATTAAAATTGAGTAAATAATTGGGATTATCCAGATAGTCAACAATTTATAACTTATTATCATCTTGACTGTTGAAAGATTAACTCAAGTAAAGGTCAAGTTTTATCCCTCTTGTAGTGACCAAAAGTTTTTACTTTCTGTTGGTGGTCAATGAGAGAGGTTAAAGTCAATTCGGTTTGAAAAGGATGACAAGATGATGAAAAGGATGAAAGAGAGAGAGAGAGAGAGAGAGAGAGAGAGAGACTAGAAGATGATTAAGGAGATAAAAGGAAGAACAAGATCAAAAGATGAACATAAAGATACACTCGAAGTTTTTTCTTCCTCTTTCTAACTGTTGTTATTTACGATGATTGTTTGATTACTTTCTGATGATTAGTTGATTGTTGGTGTTCATAGTTAATCTTAGAAGAAGAAAAAACAAACTTCGATATGAAAGTTTCAATTTCTAAATCGGAATCATCATGTATTTCAAATGAGAAATTATCATGAGCAGGAAAAAGATGAAGAAAAAAAAATGAACAACTTAACTCTTAAACTATTGAGAGTTGAAATGATTCAATGTTATTAGATGAAGCGAGAAGAGCGAGAGAGAGTCACTCCCACTCTTCCCACTGGCAGATCTCCCTTTCTCTCTCTCTCTCTCTCTCTCTCTCTCTCATCCACCTCCCACTCCATGAGTCTCCTATCTTCAATTTTCTTCCCTTTATCATCCACTATTCCAACATTCAACCTCAATAACATCATGTAACTTTATCAAATCAAATAAACATATTGTTTGGACTCTCTATCAGTTGGATAGGAGGCAAAAAATTCATTCTCAGAATTAATTTCACTCAAATTATCATTCATGTTGATGTTTGTTCATCGCAACTTTTTTTTACTCATCATTTCATCGAGCAGCTGATTCCCCTGTTGAATAGTTTCATAACTACTAATCAATATCTTCCATAGAGAATAACAATTTTTTTTTCTTTCAAATTAAAATTCATTATCCAAAGGTGAGAAACAGGTATGAACATGATTATGGTGAAAAAAACAATAAAGTACAATGGTAAGTGTAAGGGAGGTAAAAAAAAAGTTCAGCAGATATTAAAAGTATATTCAGAATTGATGATTCCATGAATGGAAACCTTTATTTTTACATGATGATAACAGGTAACTGGAACAATAATATGATAATAATGATAATAATAAAGTTGATGTTATTATTTCAATCCATTGGGCTTCATGGAAACTCACAAGTTGATAAGTTTGTTAAAATTCAGTTTCAGTTCAAAGAGGAAACATTTATCTCCCATGAAAAGAACAGAGGAGAAAAAAAATTCCAAATCATTGGAATATTATGTTATTATTATCATCATGGAAATGGTGATGGGCGAAGATAAATAGAAGGTTAATACGATGGAAGATAAATTATTAGAACATCCATCAAATAGAATAAGAAATAAGAAGGAAAATTTGAACATTTCGATGGAATCGAGAAAATTTAAATTACGAGTTTCCAATTCTTGACCTTTCGCTTGAGAGGAAAATAACCAGGTAAATATAAGTTCCAATGTTGGGTTGAGAAGGAGGAGAGGAAGAGAGAGAGAAACTGAGTATTCAGATACAATTTCGAACAAAAAAAAATTCTGATGATACTAATAATAAAAGTTCTAATAATGGTCAATGTCGATTTACGGTTCAACTTTTTTTTATCAAATTTTCTTCTTTCATCTTTTATTTTACCTTGTTAGAAACTCGAAACTTCTTGTTAGATTTTTCCTCTTCTCGAGTAATATAAAAAGTATTATATTATAATATATGTAAGTAGATATTATTTCTTGGCCTCTTGACTTGTAAATGGCCAGAGGCGATCTTGGAAAACTCTTAACTTTACCTTATACATGATTTTGTGGATGAAGGTGGAACTCATCATATGGAGAGAGAAGTAAAAAAAAGAGGAAGAAAAAATTACATTCATATTATTAGAATGGGAATAGATGTTAATGTTTTAAGGTTCAATTGTGAAAGGAAGAGGAAAGTAAAAAAAAGTAAAAGTCCAAGATGAAAGAGGAGGATGAAGAGTGGGTGGGGATGGAGGTGGAAATGCTCATGATACTCTTGAGAACTCAAGTTTCTCCCTGAATTGAGTCTGATAAATTTGAAAGCAATTGCTGTAAATGCAATTTATTTGAGACGAGTTACCCTTCAATTGGTTAACAACAACAACAATCAACTGACCTTTTTTACTCTCTATCTCTTATACCTTCCTACTTATCCTCATCATCATTATCATCCTTCATCATCTGAAATTATCATCATGATAAAATTTACTCCATCAATTTATCTCTTTGTTTTCTCTACTCTCTCTCTCTCTCTCTCTCTCTCTCTCTCTCTCTCTCTCTCTCTCTCTCTCTCTCTCTCATCTTAATTCTAACTCAGTCTGACATGAAATTCTCATTCTTACCTGGTAATTTTTTTCTTCTTCTGTTAATTTGTTCACTAAATTGATAATTAACTGTTACAATTAGATTCCAATATTAATCATGATCATTGTTTTTCACAAACTTAAAACTATAACTAACCTTTAGTCCATTGGCAAAGACGAATTGTCAACAATTTAATAACAATTAGTAAAAGAAAAAAGTTCTAAACTGTTAAAAAATCGTAATCATGATAAATTGTCCTTCTTATTACTTATACAATGTTTAGAATTCAGATAAAGATTCTAAATGTAACAAAGGTACTTTTTGTTATGGTAAAATGACCAATGGTCAGTGTAATGATAATGGAAATAAAATTCCAATGAAAAAGATGAAAATCATGAGAAAAAATGATAATCATGAAAATGTAGAAAATTATTTGAGTTAAAAAGTTTGAAGGGATATTTTGGAATCTCCGATAGAAAAGTTTTCTCTTCCATGTTACTTTTCATTTGGAATCAATTTTCTCGGAATCAAATGATTGCACGAATTATACGAATTGTCACACCTTATTGTCCATGTTGATATTCAAGTGAGATGATGGTGATGAGGATGATAAGTGAGAGTCAGATGATAACATCAATTTGACAATAGTAAATGTTATAAAATGTTCAAGGAAATTCTGATTCTGTAATTTTGGTTTAGTCTTTTTTCTGACTTATTGATATTATTTTTTTTTTCTATTTAACTTCATGACAAGTTAAAAGTTGAGATGAAATTGAAATTGCTCGGGATCACTTTGAAGTCTCATGGAAACTTTTCTTCTCATCGACATTCTCATCTTCTTATCATTCTTATTTTTTTCTTCATCATCATCATCAGCTTATTGTACATAGAGAGAAAAGAGTAAATTCTGATCAGAGAAACTCATAAATCTACTTTCTTTTTCCATGGTATAAGAGATAGAGAGAGAGAGAGAGAGAGAGAGAGAGAGAGAGAGAGAGAGAGAGAGAGAGAGAGAGAGAGAGAGATGTGAAAGAAAAGATTCTTTTGCTCATGTTGGTCTGATTCTTTTCTCTAACTTCATCTTCTCTTCTTCTCATCATCTCTTCATCATCATTCTCAATTCTAATATGGATAAAAGAAGGAAGGAAACAATGATGAGAACCGGTAATGATAAAGGTACAGATGAAGATTAATCAAGAATAGAATCATGACTTGAGAAATGAATGAGTTGATGAACAGTATAGAATCATATTGATGATGAAGATGATGATGGAGATAAGACTGATGATGATAATGATGATGATGTTGAAATGATAAAATTATGAGTGAATCCCGCGTTTTTCATGGTAAATCATATTTGGAAACAATTCACAAGGGAGATTACGTTACAACTATTGTTAAACCGAATCAATATTTTCCAACATTAAGGTTAGCAATTTAGTTTTTTTTTCTTCATCTTCCTGTAATATGTACATTCAATTGATGATCATGTTGAGTGGATGGATGGGTGGTAGTGGGAGTGAGTCCTTTATCTTTTTCGCCTCGAGGTGAATTAAAAAAAAGTATATATGTTAACTTGAGCTTCTTTTTTCTAATCAAAATTCAATGTTTCTTTTATATTCTGGGAGAGAGAGGAAAATAGAATCTTTTGACCAGAATATTCAGCAGGAAGAGAAAAAAGAACTTTTTTTTCTCTCTCTCTCTATCATCGAGCTCATTGTTCACAATGTTTACTAGTTCTTCATGTAAATAGCTTCCTTTGTTTATAGTTTTCCTCTGGATTCTTTGTATTATCTTTGCTTTTTCAACTTTTTTACGTGTCTCTGAGTTATTATTTTGTCTTTTACATTCCCTTGAATTCCCATATATGAAATTTGGATGATAAATCAGGAGGATGAAGGAAGATGCGCCAAGAATAAACTCATGTGAATATGGATTAATGTTGGTTAACTATTAAATCGGCCATTAAATGATTCCTTTTATCAACACGATGAATATAATGGTAATTATCATTCCTTTAACCAAAATGATATTGGATATAGACTTTTCCATCCCAATGATGGTAACAGTAAGTGAATATCGTTTAGGTGAATTGAAGACATTCAAGTGATGTAACTGCTGATCCAAAAGAAGCTGAAACTTGGCTGGTTAGCATTAATTGAGATTGAATGTATATCTTTTTTTTTCTAATCGTCATCATCTTTACATAAAGAATCATGATAATCTTAATGGATTCTCAGCTTTCAGGTTTCTCTCCTTTGGTTTCGGCCAAATATTAACTTTGAACGTGATACTTTCATTTTCCATCTTTGTCTTTACTCTTTTCACTTGGGTTTCCATTTTTCCATAACAATTGTATCCATATGATCATTTTGCCTAAAGGTTAACAGATTTTTCCATAATAATGACCACATGAAGAACGGGGGGAAATTATATCAGAACATGATACATGATGTGAGATATATTCACAAGGGTGAAACGCCTTTATTTTTTCAACAATCGTTGAAACAATTGACAGACTATGTGGATGATTAGCAACTTGAAAAATGAAAATAGAAAATATCATCTAGAGTAATTTGAGTAATATTACACTCTCATGGAATACCGGCTGGAGCAAGAAAGGATAATGAATCACCCCAATCCGATGTGGCTCGATTGTTTTGGAAATAAATAATCCACACAAGAAGAAGAGTTAATTCAATTCCAGAAGCGATAAATGATAATACGACATAACGTTTGATCTCCTTTTTTTGAGGATAATCTCTTTGAGAGATAAAAGCTTCCTGGAAAAACCAGACCGCATTCATGAGCCAAAGTAAAGGTAGAAACACAAATCCACCTGAAAGGAAAAAGAAAGAGTTAAAAACAAAATTAGTTATTGAAAATCTTCAGAAAAATAATAAAAATCACAAATCAAAACAGAAAAGGTGTAAACATAAACAAAGAATCAATTATTTACCATAGAAATATTTTCTACATATAATCAGCTTTTCATCGTCTTTCATTCGTCTTATATCCATGTTGTCAGGATATTCTATGGATTAATTAACGTTTTTACTAAAAAAAATTAAAAGAATAAAAGAGAAAACAATTAATTTAATGATTAATCACAGAGAAAAAGAAAATTTAAAAATCAAAACAAAGAGAGAAATTCAAGTTGATTGGATTCTCACCAGATGGCGAAAGTTTTACTAGAAAGAGAAAAGAGTAACTATCGCCATCTATGAGCTAATTTAAGGAGGAAAATGAGTGAATTGAAACTCGTTTATTGAAAAATTGAAGGTCGCCAATCAATAATCTCAAGGTCAACTGAATGAAAGAAGATGAATTTGAAATAATTATATTTGCGGTGAAAAAAAAGGTAAGAGAAAAAAAATAACAAAATGAAAGAATTGAGTAAAAAAAGAAACAGCCGGATATCAAACAATCAACTACAGTTAACGATCCTGGTGATTAGCAGATTTTACTTAGCAATCAATGATAATTAACCAGTAGTTTTATTGACAAAGGAATGATTCATGATCATAATGATGGAAGAATTAATTTCCAATAATCTAATCAACACACTGAGATTTACAAGAATTAATAATGAACAGGTAAGAAGATCTGAATTGTGTTTTGCTTATTAGTTATTTCATCAAACAATTTAACTAATCATGTTGTATGTTAATAATAGTAAGATTGTGATTATTATAATATCAAGACCATGAACTTGTTTCTTTGCGTTCACGATTAACGATTCCCAAGAAATCACGAGTTAATTGTAATCAAAGAATCAACAAGCAATTTAAAATAAACCAGAAAATTGAGAGGAAGAAAATTAAAATTTAACCTGAGGGCAAATAAGAAGAGAGAAATTAAATCCATAGGAAAAAATATCTTCTAACTAAATTAGTAAATTAACAATAAATTCACTAATTGTTGGACGAGAACAGTTTATATTTAACATAATCAACAATCAAAACAACAACAACAACAACCAAATTCAAATTGATTTATAAATAATCAATTTCAAGGTTAATTGTGAGACTTTAACGTAGGTTAATCGACAATTAACTTTAATCATTAAAATAATAATTCCGGTTTAAAACTTTCTCTCTCTCTTCCAATCAATTAGTTAATTGTAAACATTAACAAGGAAAATAATATAAACAGATCACAATTAACACTTGTAACTAAATTAAATGTCGTTGATTGTGATGATGTGTTTAAGAGTTTAGTTAGCAATTAATTGATTGGGTTACTCTTTCCGGATCAAAATTTAATCACCAATGATTAAAGTAAGGGGAAAAAAAGTAAATTGTAACTAAATAATTGTAATTCAATCTTGATTGTTATCAAATGAGTAATTCATTTTAATTCAATCAATTAAATATCAACAGTGAACATTTAATAATAACAATTTCCCTGTCATCTATTGAAATCATAATCATTGATTGTGAAACTATTGATTAACTTGATTAGGATGACTTTGGATTTAAATGCCATCGACAATCAGAATCATCATCATCATCAACATTTGTTTACCAATAATCATGTTAATCATTAATTCAAAGTGTTTGATTACAACGAATTAGGAATAGAAAAAAAAAACTTAATCAAGGTTAAGAAAGTTTCTGATTGTGATCAAATTGATTCTCTTTCTCTGTGATTACAATTATCTGATATTTTCTTGTGTTTATGTGTCTCATGATTGACTGACCATTGTCCATTGTTATGGTCAATCAACTGATGAGATAAGTTTTAATGAGTCAACTGTCCAGTTTGGCCTGATAGCGATGATGATGATGATTATTGTTTGAGTTTTGGTTTCCGATTTCCCTGATTAACTATCGATTACCAAACAATTTAAGGTTATGATTATCGGATGAGAGATAAAAAAATTGAGAAAATAATAAAAGAGATGATGATGAAGATGATGATCCGGTCTGAGATATTCACTAATAATGGTTTGTTATAATGATGAAGATGAGGATGATAAGGATAAGGATAAGGAGGTTAAAAGATGAGAGAAACTTTTTTTTTATATGTTAACAAAATCATCTCTTGATTGATTGTGAGCAATCATTATTATGATTAACTTAATCATTACTGAACAAATAATTGGCCAACGAATTAATTTCTTTAATAATCATTATCATCTAATTTTCGGGTGGGGTTTTCATGATGATCTTTACCATGATGATGATGATGATGATGATAATCATTCTGGTTTTTTTTTAAACATCAACAATCAATTGATCATCTAATAGTTAATGGGTGACAATCAGTTTTGTAAGCAAGAAAAAGTTTTGTTTACTTTGATTTCATTTTGATTGTACAGAAAAAAAAAGTTTCTGATTGTTTGTCAATTGTTAAAGTTAAATTGTTCATTCATTGTAAATGGTGAACCTTAATTGTCATTAAACAGCAACAAATCCAGTTACAATTGAATAGCAATTGAAATTGTAAAATGTTTCCAATCAATTGCAATCATTATCTAGCTTTTATTTAGCAACAACAACACCAATCAAACATATAATTTAAACAGTAATTTGTAAATTACAATTTGCAAAAAGTTTAATCCTCACACAGCGGTTAAGTTATTAATCATTGTTATTATACATATTATCAAGTTTTGATACAATTAACTGTATCATCATGTAATCAGCTGAATGTTAATCATCATGTTTCAAGGTCCTCGATATAAATCAAAACATTAATATTACCAAAAGAAAAACAAGAATCAGATATTTATATTTATCTAATCTTAATCTTAATCTACTCTAAATTAATCTAATTAATCTAATCAACATTCTGACACCTTTTTCCTCATCTTCAACATCTAATATCTAATAATTAACCTAATGAAATGATATCAAGATGAAAAGATGAAGATTATCATTAAGAAACCAGGATAATATTGATTATCCTATTTTTTAATATCCTGAAGATGATCCCGATTCCAAATGATTATAATGTTTTATTATCAATTTTGTACTTTATGCTATTTGGTTATGACAAGGTGAGGCTTTTTTGTTAATTTACCCGCCGGGTAAACATTGGATACAACTGTAAGTTAAATAATAAACTTTGAAGCTTCCTGCTGGTGGAAATACTGTGTTAAGATGATGATGAGGATAATGATGATGAGATGCAAAGGTAAGCCAAGGGGAGAAGGAAAAAAAGGTGAGATGAGGATGAAGAAATTGAGAAACAGTTAATTTGTGAGGTACAGTCGATGAAGAAAAGGGATGAAAAGGATGCATTCTCGTTCTTGATAAAAGGAGATGATGCGGAGGATGAAGATAAAGAGAAGATGATAATGGTGATAGTGATGATTAACTAGAACAGGAGTGAGATAGAGAGAGAGAGAGAGAGAGAGAAGATGATATGATGATCAGGATGAGGATGAGGATGAGGATGAAAATCTAGATTAGAGGGTTGAGATAGGATCTTGAATCGTCTCATTTGGTTTAAGAATTCACTTTGTTGGGTTAACATCAACAAACTTTTTTATTTACATGATGTTTTCATGATGATAATGAATTTCAAACTTACCAGAATTTAAAGTTACCCGAAAATAATAAGAAATAGCAATAATAATGATAGGATTTTAATGACTTGGACCAATTTATTACCAAGTTAGAACGAGATTATAATAATAAGAATAGAGCACTTTTCGCTCAGCCAGTCCCACCTTCATCATCCGCATCCTCATCTGCATTTGAATCATCTCCATCTCCATCTCCATCCTCATCCTTATCCTCTTCCCCATCATCAATATCAAGTAACCGTAGCATTTACTTGTTTGAATGCACTACTTATGCCGCTCAACTGAGATCCTTAATTTGTTGCTGTTAATCAACTGATTGATTTATAATTTACTTAAGGGGGTTAACCCTTCCTCCTTTTTTTTATTATATTTCTACATCATCATTATCATTATCATCCAAGTTACTGGACTTAAGTGAATGAATATTAATCAGCTGAAGCAATTTGCACGCAATTATCCAACCAGTATTAACCCTTTACCATTATTATTAGTAACTTTTAAGTTCCGTTCATCTTTATCATCATCAGATAAATGTCCGAATAGCCTAGTTTCAGCTCTTCCATATCATCATCATCACACTAACCCCTTTCATGGTAACATGATGATGATGATGATGATGATTATGATTATGATAGTGAAAATGACAAATTTTTGCTTTCACAGGTAATATACACTTTTGTGTATTCGTATTGCAATCATTTAATTGTTAATTGTTGTTGCTTTGTTTTGTTCATTCCTAATCATGATCGATGTTCATTTACCAAAGGTTATTGTCTTGTGAAAAAATCTCATGATGAATTATTAATAGATTCATGGATTAATCATGGAGAAACCTTGAAATCTCATGATCGGATATTGTATTCAACTGATCATGAATTTCCTGAATTAATGCCAATTCAGTTAAATTGTTAATCAACTTTTGATATTTTAACTTCGTCTTAATCTGTTAATAGCATATGATAAACAATCAAAGAGTAAAAGTGAATTAACCTTTTAAATAATTTTGTATTCTAATCGCAAACAATTAACTTTCCAATCTACTTTCCTATTTTCAATTGGATAAAATATTGTCTAACTCTGTCATTGAACTAATCAATTAATTGAATTATAAATTGAAACTCTTTGATAATCAATTGATTATTATCATTTTTAATAATAATGATGAACATGATTAAGATTGATTAAGATTGAGTTGATAAAATTTAACTAATTTGTTATCAGTTGAGATGTAAAAAGGTAATGGTTACAATTTACCTGACATTAAATTGTTATCAAGAGAATTGAAAATGGTTAACAATCAAATTGTGTTAAATTGCAACAATTTAAATTAACCATTAACGAGATAGATTGAGATTATTATTATTGTTACAATTTTGGAATTGATGATGAACAGAAACTGTAAAAGGTTATGAGAAATATAACAGAAGATGAATTTCTTTTGATAAATATTATATTTATTTGATGATAATAATGACGATTGATGATAAAAGATGATGATGATGAGATTTAACCTTGAAGATGATGAAGAAACCATGAAAATGAGCCTTGAATAACCTCTGACCCTTTTCCTACACAAAAGGAATCTAGGATCATCTTTGTTATCATTTGGTGTCAATTGAAT